AAAAATACAAAAATTAGCCAGGTGTAGTGGCGCACACCTGTAATCCCAGCTACTCAGGAGGCTGAGGCAGGAGAATTGCTTGAACCCGGGAGGCGAAGGTTGCAGTGAGCCAAGATCATGCCATTACACTCCAGCCTGGGCAACAAGAGCAAGACAACATCTCAAAAACAAAACAAAACAAAACATAAAACACTTAACTTGGAATTGTACACTATAAAAGGGTGAATATTACGATATGTGAATTATGTCTCAATTTAAAAAAAAAACTTATCCTGGTTTACAAAGCCTTCTATGATTTGGCCTGACTCAGCATCTCTCATTGGCTTTCCTCCCCCTGCCTCCCATTTTCCTCTTAGCTTTACCATGCAGCGGTTCCTTCTGCCTCCGAGCTCTCCACACTTTCCAAGCTACGTTTGCATTTCTTCTTATCCTGTGCAGGAAGCATTCTCTCTTCCACCTATCCCTTGTCCTCTTCCTCCCCACTTGACTGACTCCTCCTTGTCCTTCAAATCTTAGCTTAAGATGATACTTCCCCAGAAGGCTTGGTCCCCCCTGGACTGGGTTAGGTGCTCCTGATGTGTGTTTCATACTTAGCTCTTTTGTAGCATTCACCAAATATTTGTTCATTCTGTATTTATTGAGTGACTGCTCTGGGCTGGGCACTCGGCTAGGTGCTGGGTATTTCACAAATAAGAGATGTGGCCCTTGCCCCCATGGTGCTTACAGTCTAAGAAGGAAAGAAAATGGACATTAAACAGTGAATTACCCTAAATATTTTAATTATAATTATGACATTTCAGAGCACCCTGGGGAGGGCGTGTTAAAGGACTTGACATAATTGGAGGTATCAGAGAAAGTGTCATTTAAGCAACTTTAAGGAGTCAGGTGGCCAGCTGAAGAGCGCTGGGTGGAGTGTTCCACGCAGAGGAACAGCATGTAGGAAGGCTCTGACGCAAAGCTTGGGGGGCATTTCAGAAACTGAAAGGCCAATGTGGGAGACAAAGAAGAGCCTGGAAGAGCCAAATCTTACCTTCTGGACCATGGTAAGGGTTTCTAAGTTCATCTTAAGAGAAGTAGATTGCCTTTGAAGACTTAACATGAGAATTTTAAAAGTTCCCCATGGCGGCCAGGTGTGGTGGCTCGCGCCTGTAATCCCAGCACTTTGGGAAGCCGAGGCGGGCGGATCACGAGGTCAGGAGATCAAGACCATCCTGGCTAACATGGTGAAACCCCATCTCTACTAAAAAAAAAAAAAAAAAAAAAAAAAAAAATTAGCTGGGCGTGGTGGCGGGCACCTGTCGTCCCAGCTACTCGGGAGGCTGAGGCAGGAGAATGGCGTCAACCCGGGAGGCGGAGCTTGCAGTGAGCCAAGATCACACCACTGCACTCCAGCCTGGGTGACAGAGTGAGACTCCATCTCAAAAAAAAAAAAAAAAAAAAGTTCTCTGGGGCAAATGTGTAAATAAGGAAGCAGGATGACAAGTTAAGAGACTCACAAACTTCCTGTGACTCTCCCACTAAACTCTAAGCTCCTAGAGGGCAGAAACTGTGTCATTAATTTTTGTATCCACAGTTTCCAGGACTGCCTGACAAATGCTCAGTATCATTTTAATGAATTGAATACATGATAGGGCCAAGATTCCAACCTAGGCTTTTAAGAAAGGCTCAGCTCAAGTATCAATGCCCTATCTCCCCTACACACAACCTTTCAAAGACCACCCCTCCACTCCTCCCTAGACTGGGCTGGATAACCCCTTTTACCTCCAGTGCATCTCTGGTGGGTTGTACTTTCTAAATATGGCCACATTAATGTCTCACATCCCACGTGTTCTTCTTACAGTGTAATTCTGAGACTCTTCCCGCTGAGAGGTAGGAGTAGTTCCCTCCCCTTGGAATTGAGGCTAGGTCATATGATTCGGCTTCCTCTTGGTTCTCTTGGGATGCTGAGGAAGCCCAGACTGCCCCGTGTAGAGGCTCATGTGGAGAAAAACTGATAGTCAGCACTGAGAACTATGTGAGTGAGCCATCTTGAAAGTGGATCCTCAGCTCCCAACAGTCCACCCCAGTTCACACCTTTTGGAATAGAAGTGAGCCATCCCTGCTGAGCCCTACCCATCTTGCAGATTCACTGGCAAAATACAGCAGTGGTAGGTAACTAGAATAGCATCCTATGTTTGACATGCAGGGAGGCGGTATGTTAGTTGGATGGGCTATGACTACCTTGGTACTTATTAGTTGTATGACTTTTGGCAAGTTACTTAACCTCTCTCTGCTTCAGTGTTGTTTTTCAGTATAAATGAAAATAGTACCTATGCCTTAAGTTTGTTGGGAGGATTAATGTTGGTAAATGCAGCTCTACAGGTAATACAGATGAGTCATGTGAGCATCTCCTCAGATATGCCTCTGATCATTCAGCTGTCATTCTCATGTGATTCTGTGTCTTTAAGTACTTTCACTCTATTCATAATATGTTTATATATAGGCATGTGTTTGTACAGGTTGAGCATCCCTAATCTAACACCCAAAATCCTCCTAAATCTGAAACTTTTAGATGCCTACACGACACCACAAGTAGAACATTCTACACACAAGTAGTTAACACAAACTTTGCTTCATGCACACAATTTTTTTTTTTTTCAGATGCAGTCTCACTTTGTTGCCCAGGCTGGAGTGCAGTGGCGTGATCTTGGCTCACTGCAGTCTCTGCCTCCTGGGTTGAAGCAGTTCTGCGTCAGCCTCCTGAGTAGCTGGGATTATAGGCATTTGCCACCACACCTGGTTAATTTTTGTATTTTTAGTAAAGACAGGGTTTCACTGTGTTGGCCAGGCTTATCTTGAACTCCTGGCCTCAAGTGATCCTTCTGCCTCCCAAAGTGCTGGGATTACAGGCGTAAGCTGCCACACCCAGTCTAGGTACAAAATTATTTAAAATATTGGCCAGGCACGGTGGCTCGTGCTTATAATCCCAACACTTTGGGAGGCCTAGGCAGGAGGACTGCTTGAGGCCAAGAGTTTGAGACCGGTGTGGGCAACATAGGAAGACCCTGTCTCTACCAAAAATAAAAGATTAGCCAGGTATGGTGGTGCTGCTTGGAGGCAGGAGCATTGCCTGAGCTCAGGAGTTTGAGGTTACAGTGAGCTGTGATCACACCACTGCACTTAAGCCTTTACCCCCATCCCCACTTTGATGGATTCGCTTCACTTATTCATTCACCAGCTTTTTGTTTTTTTCTTTTTAGTGCTTCCTGTGTGCCTAGAATACCTAGTACTTGGGGTGCATATCTATTTGTATTTTGAATCCTTAATCTTTGGCTTCCAGGATAAAGATCAGTCAGGTTTCAAATTCTGTGTGCTTTCTTCCAGCTAAACCGTGTGCTCTACTGGCCCATCATCAAGTGGCTGTTCTCCCAACAGCAGCCCAGCCATGTGGTCTCCCTAAACTTAGCTGTGGGGCTAGATGCATTAACCTTATCCTGATGTATGATTGGATGTTATAGTATCAAGACCAAATGATAGATCCCTTTACTCAGCTCCAAGGTACAGCCAGATTAACATTTGGTACAGTAGTAAAACACCTGAGACTCGTCATAAATTTAGCCCCAAAGGTTAAAGCTTTAGGAATTTCTGCCACGGGTTGCCATGGTTCTGCCACAGGTTGAGGCAGACCATTGAGACAGGTGCCAGAATATTGGGACCACATTGTATTGTCACTTTTGATATTTGACTTTTGAGGCTTTTTCAATTATTGTTGTGTATGTGTGTGTGTGCGTGCTATTTCAGGAGTAGGAGTAGGGGGTTGGGCTATTTGGAGAATCTGATGGAAATTATAGCACCGTTTTCCAAAAATACTACACATCCACAGACACACACACACACAGAGTATTTAGAAACAGTTTCAGGACAGCCAGGTTAGTAATCCACCTGTGACTTGCCGTAAGGGTAGAAACTTTTCTATACCATATCTTAGTCCTTTATCATGTACTATGTTCATTTACCTTTTCATGTGTGCATGTTTTATCCCAGTGAGCAGGCAAGCTTCCTCCAAGGAACATATGCCTCTTTATGACCCCCAGTAATATGTGCATGTAGGGACCTCACCTGTGGGAAATCTTGCCAGTTGAGTCCTTTGAAGCTCTGTGATTCACTGGGGATGGCAGCCTTCCCTTCAGCACTCCGCCCTCCACCCACCACCCTCCAAGGCAAAAGAGACTACCACAAGGGGACTTGGACCCTGCATTCATGTTCTGTGTGCTCTCTAGGTTTTAGGCTAAAGCATTATTTACATAATCCTCATGTAGATATCCACTTGGCTATTTAGAGAACAAAGCAGTGCCTACTGGAAATATTTTTTTTTAAGTATTAATAAATGAATGCATTACATTATTTTTAAAAATTTTGATGTCTTTATCCCTTTGTCAGCTCCATACCTTGCCCTGTACACTCCCAAACCTGTAATCAGGACCCCCTTTTTGTTCTATCCCATGAATTCCTAACTGCCCTCCTTTCCTGCCATGTGCTTGTGAGAAAAAAAAAAAAGCGGGCATAAACCTAATGTTAATGGAACGGTGGCCGTGTGGTTTTTCCTTGTTTTCCTGTCCTTCCCTCCCCCTTATAAATGTCCCCTTATAAATGGAAAGGGCCACCTTTCCATCCTAACTTTGGAAGGGTTTTCCCTCCAGGCTTGTCTCCCTGACTCTGTAAGTAATTACAGCCACCTGGTGGCCATATGGGGAAATGACAGATGGAGTGGCCCCAAAAAATCTAGTGAGACCCTCTTTTTTTTTTTTGAGATGGAGTTTCATTCTTGTTGCCCAAGCTGGAGTGCAATGGCGCTATCTCAGCTCACCGCAACCTCTGTCTCCCAGGTTCAAGCGATTCTCCTGCCTCAGCCTCCCAAGTAGCTGGGATTACAGGTGCACGCCACCACGCCCGGCTAATTTTTTGGATTTTTAGTAGAAACAGGCTTTTGCCAGGTTGGCCAGGCTGGTCTTGAACTCCTGACCTCAAGTGATCCTCACACCTCGGCCTCCCAAAGTTCTGGGATTACAGGCATGAGCCACTGCACCTGGCCAGAGATACTCTATGGAATAACTTTTGGTTTTGGGGTCTAGGGGAAGCAGGGAAAGGGAATCCTGTGGATAGAGACTGTATGTAGCACAGGAACCAGACATCCTATTCCTCCGTCCTTCCTTGCCTACTAGGACACAACATCCCCCCACTAGTTATAGACAGATGAGTTCACTTAACATTTGAGTTCATTCAAAATTTATTGAGCAGCAACTGTGTGCTCAGCAATGAGAATATAGCAGTGAGCGAGATGTGAACAAGATCTCTGCCCTCATGAGCTTACAATCTAGCAGTACAGCCAGCCTATTACAGCCATAATTTTACAATTGTAACAAAAACTCTGGAAAATGCATGGTGCTAACCGATTTATCAGAAGTCTTGACCCACCAAGAAATAAAAGAACTGAGGAAGGAACATTTAGGATCAGCTAGGCAGAAAGTGAAAGGAAGCGTGTTGCAGGCAGAGAGGACAGTGTGTGAGGGCTCCGCGGCTTGCAAGACACGTAATGAACTGAAAGCCAGTGTCTGGGCCGTAGAGAACAAAGAGGAGTGTTGCGAGATGAGCCTGATTTATACAAGGTCTTTGAATTTAGGACGTTATCCCAAAAGCAGGTGGAAGCCACTGAAGAAGCTAAGGAAAGTTCGATGTTTAGGTTTGTTTTTCATAGCTGACTCTTACTGCAGCATGGAAGGCAGAAGTGGAAATGGGAGAACAGGTTAGGAAGTTTCCATAGCAGTTTAGACAAGAGGTGATGGTAACTTGGAGAAAAGAAGATAGGTTCCAGAGATATTTAGGAGACAGATTACACTTGATGAGTGACTGGATGTGTGAGGAAAGGGATGTGTTTCTGGCAAGAGGCATTGAAGTAGGAGTCTCTGGAAGAGGGACAGATTTTGGCAGAATGAAGACCTCCCGTAGGCACAGGACAGGCCCTGAGACTTGCACTAGAGGAACAGCATAGCCTTCATTCTCAAATAGTTCAGGGTTTAATTGAGCAAACAAGGTACACGTAATTGCAGAGTTGATTAAAGATCAAAATGACTGATTTAGATAATTCACGGACTCCTGCATTCCATGGGATTAGATTTAAATCCTCCACCTCACAGTAAATTCAGATAACTGCTGAAGCCAACAGTAATGTTTCCTGTTCATGCCTCCCATAGCCCCTCAGAACACCTATACAGCCCAACGGTATCTCACAGGGGTCACCTTCTCCTGCGCTGGGCCCTGATGCCCCTGCCAGAAGGCACACTGAACTCCTCCTGATTTGTGTTTCGCTTGCTGCTGCCAGGAAGTTCACCTGCCTGTCATTCTCAAATCTCCCCTCCTTAAGTTAAAGGAGACCAAATCTAGCCGCTGCCCCCAATAGTGGTTCTCTTTTGGTCACCAGGAGAGTTTTCTGACTGACTTAACATCTCTCTTTACATTACCCCTGTCAAGTTCTCTCTTTTGGAGTCACCATCTTGCAACCCTGTCTTCCTCATCTTCTCCAAGTGGCAAACTGCCTCCTTTTTCTCCCTCACCAAAGTGTCACTAATTTGCTGGCCTTTTCCCCACTCTAGTTTTCCCTCAAGTTAGTAAATACCCACCTCTTTGCCCCAAAAAGGTCAGGAAAGAAATTTGGGGTATGGGATTAACAAGGAAGTAGCCCCAATAGCTATTGCTTAGCTGACACTTAGCCTTCCTTGCCTCCTCTTCGCCACAGGAGAACTCTGCAAACTCCCAGAGACAATAACTGCTAACTGTACAATAGGACCACAGTTTCCTATTGTGCAAGGAGCCTAGGAAAAAGCCACATCCCAAATACCTGCTCTGAGAACAGTGGTTACAAATGTTAACATGAGATTAGACATGGAGATGGCCCCTTTATATTGAGAGAACATGGACTTTGGAGTTGGGTAGACTTGAATTTGCATTCTGGCTCTAGTGGTACTACCTAGTGTGCCTTTGAGCTATTAAACTTTTCAAAGTTTCAAAAGACTTATCTGTAAAATAGTAATCCACCTTATAGGGTAGTTGTCTTGAAGAGGCTATTTGGGAGGCTGAGGCAAGAGGATCACTTGAGCCCAGGAGTTTGAAACCAGCCTAGGCAACACAGTGAGACTCTGTGTCTATAGAAAATTAAAAAATTAGGCATTGTGGCGTGCACCCAAAGTCCCAACTACTCAAGGCAGAGGTGGGAGGATCACTTGTGCCCAAGAGCTCCAGGCTGCAGTGAGCCATGATTTTGCCACTGCACTCCAGACTGGGTGACAGAGCAAGACCCCTTCTCTTTGTGGGGGGTGGGGGGTGAGGGTATATGAAGTACCCAGCATAATATCTAGCCTGAATTGCCTATAATGACTCACTTCCTTTCTTTCCCTTGGGTTTCAGCTGCCAAATACTATTCTACAAGTAAGATAAGCCAGCTTTGTGTGGTCAATGATAAACATTTCCTATTCCTGTCTTTGTAAATCCCATCTTCCTGCAGACATCTCATTTCCATCATTGCCAAAAAAGTCCTTCCATCCCTCACCCCTGTAGAACTACTCTCTCTTAACGATCAAACAGTTCTGCCTGAACTCTGACTATCCTCTTCTACATCTCCCTAAACCAAGATACTTGATCTTCTTGTATCATTCCTAAAGATTAATTCACTGATTTTCTCAGAGCAAATTGTAATGAAGGCAGGGAATAGGACCTTTACACTTCAGAAGGGCACAGGCTAGCTCCTAGAGAGGAATGGAGATCTAGGCCCAGGCACCCCTCCGCCCCACCACTTTTCCTCAAGGCACAGAAAAAGCCAAACTTGAAATATGTCTTGAGTGTACATGAGTGTACGTCTCCTTTCCTACAACTCTGTGAGATCATCATTGAAGTACAGAAGTATTGCAGGTGTGTGAAGTGTTCCGTCCATATTGAGATAGTCAAATTCTTCCTCCTCATCCCGGATCCCATTCTCTTCCAGGGTAAAATCCATGTTCAGGTTCTTCCCTTCATATTTCCACGTGTAGCTGGCAGCATGTGCATTATAGGGGAGATAGCGGTGTAGGATTTCCCATATGGACTCCAGAACCCCCACCTGGAGAACACAGAAGCACCCCACCCCCAGAATTCTGGATGGAGTATACACATATACACATTAGGATCAAAGTGCCTCCCTTGGCAGATAGCAGCTTCAGGTAATCTACGGCCCCAGAAAAAAAGCTGAAACTCCAGCATGCATGAACAGGCCCAAAAGACCTACAGCTCTTAATGGCAGCCACTTCTAACTACCAGATGGCCATAAAGGGTCAACTGTCCCCTCACTATATCCGTGCAATAGAGTAGATTAAAAAGAAAGTTCAATTGCTGTCCAAAACGGCGTGTAAGAGTTTTGAAGGACCACCATCACTAAGATGCATAAACTGCTGTTCCCGGGCTTATAAAGGAGTCTCTTGTCCCCGTGTGACCCAGACACTCCTAGAATTACCAACCCTGGGGACCTAGGTGCTGTGCTTTCCTCAGTTGCCTCAATGTAAAGGGCAGAAAATACACTCCCACTGGTTATGGAAAAAAATGTTGCCCTGAAGATCGGCCTGGAGATTTGCTGGGATTCCCCATTCCCTCTAACCTGCTCCTTGTCACCAGTTCTCACCTCCAGTGTGTGCTCCTGCGACGTGAGTGTGTTAATGATGCGGATGCTCCGGGTCTTGGCAGACAGCCGCCCCACCTCATAATACGACCCCTGCCACCAGGGCTTCCCAAAATCGTTGGCCCAGTCCGAACAGGGCAGCTGAGGCGGAACGTGCACAAAGCGACCCCGCGGGGTGCAGTACCTCAGGCAGCCGGTCAGCGGATCTATGTGCTTGCGGATCTTTAAAGGAGGGTTTGGGGCGAGGGGATCAGAGCAGTCATTATGCTCTGGCTAGCCTCCGCTTTTCCTTCCCATCCCCGCTCTCCATTGCCTCTACCCACAACCCCAGATTTCAGCATAACTCACGTCTTTGGTCTTTGGATCAAACCAGTGGCTGATGTCCTGGCCTGCAACTTCCACGATAGGTTTCAGCAGCAGGTTCCCTTGAAAAGAGCAGCCACGGTCAATGCCAGCCCTTCAAGAACCAGGCAGACGCGCGCGCGCGCGCACACACACACACACACACACACACACACTCCGGCCCCGGCCCAACGTGTGACCCTTACCCTTGTATTCCTGTGCCAATGACGTTAGGTCGTACACGCGTCCCAGGTAAGATACCCAGAGGTCTTCGGGCCTGTTATGTTGGGCCACCTCCGCCGGCGTGAAATAGCGACGCTGAAAATACTCCAAATCTGGCCCAGCCACCAGGCCCCGGCGCGGCATGGCTCTTGCTCTGTCAGTCACTGGCTCTCTTGGTTACTCCTTTGCTCCTCAGCACGCACTCACTACTACTACGACCTCCGTCGCGTCCGGGAGCCGAGGGGAGAGCGTTTATCCGCTGACATGGAAACCATTGTCCTTTTCCGGCCACCGTCCAGGGGGTGAGGCTTGGACCGCACGTGTTCACGGGAAACGTAGTATGAGTCCCACACGGGGCATGTAAGGATCAAGTAATTGAGTTGCGCCGCTTTCAGGAGTTGGGGGTGGGCAGAAAACGAATACGCTCCGTTTTAATTTAGCGGCCTGGGCTACATGGGATATTTATGACAGACTATCTCTCTGAGACAGAAAAACAAGGGAGGAGGCAGTATGAGAGTGTATTCTCGCTAAATTCCAGAGTTTCTAAAGGATGTGTAAGAAAGTAGAGGTAAAGGTCTCGCGATATCGTAAGACATCCGGCGTGGTACGCTTCAGTGAGCCACAGCGCTGGAAGTAGGAGAAGCTCGCGAGATCTCTGCCGTTGCCGCGGAGACTAGGAGGTGGAGGAGAGGTGATCTCGCGAAAGGAAAGCGGTCGGGAGCGCTCGCGAGATCTCGGACCACCCAACCTGAAAGGTGCTTAGGAAGTTGAAAGGCCCAGAGGAGGCCTCCGGGCAAATGGCCGGAGCTGGACCGACCATGCTGCTACGAGAAGAGAATGGCTGTTGCAGTCGGCGTCAGAGCAGCTCCAGCGCCGGGGTTAGCACGGGCTCTGGTTCTGGGATTGAGGGGCAGTCGAGCAGCAAGATGGAGGGGGTGGGGGAACTGCAGCTCCCGGCAGCCTCTGGGCGTTGTGTGAGCGCCCCGCGGGCTGCCGGGAGCTGTGGTTCCGCGGGCGGGCAGCCGGGACTGCGCGGTCTGAGCGCTTGTTCCACCCCGCGCAGGATTCGGACGGAGAGCGCGAGGACTCGGCGGCTGCGCGCGCCCGGCAGCAGCTAGAGGCGCTGCTCAACAAAACTATGCGCATTCGCATGACAGATGGACGGACACTGGTGGGCTGCTTCCTCTGCACTGACCGTGACTGCAATGTCATCCTGGGCTCGGCGCAGGAGTTCCTCAAGCCGTCGGGTCAGTGCCTGGGGAATGCATACCCGCCTGGGAATGTGGCGGAACCTTACGCAAGGCATTTCCCCTTCAGGGCCTGGCTGCAGCCCTTGTTTTCTGGGGCTCGTTTTTGTGGCTCAGAGGGGCGGGACTGATGCCGGCCTGCTTCCCTGATCCTCTGATCCTTCTTTCCAGATTCCTTCTCTGCTGGGGAGCCCCGTGTGCTGGGCCTGGCCATGGTACCCGGACACCACATCGTTTCCATTGAGGTGCAGAGGGAGAGTCTGACCGGGCCTCCGTATCTCTGACCACGGTGGCGCATACCTTTCAGACTTCATTAAACTTACGACCGAATGGACCTGTGTCTGTGTATAGCTGGGATGCCAGTACAGGGATAGCACACCCCACCCCTAGAGGAAAGGACTCATCTGAAGTCGGGAGCACCCTCAACCCTCCTCTACCAACCGGGATGTCCAGGGCTGCCAAAGGTTCTCTCAAGTTGAGGGGTAGAGATGGGGGACAGGGCTGAATGATGCACCAACAGGCCCCAGGGTGGGCCCCTGCATCTTCCCTCCCACGCTGCTGCTCCAGAATTGTGGCGGGAGGGGGTGTCATCCTGCTCCGGAAGGCCCATTGTTTCCCACCCCGGCCTGGCAACACCGAGTTCCTTTAAGCTGGGGTCAGAGAACGGGCTCAGGTCCCCAAGGGGAGCAGGGGCAGGCGGCCGAGGCTGGGCCCCCTCCACTCTATTGATGGGGAGGTGCCTGGGGTCAGGGACAGATCTCTGAGTTCTGGCCAGGAAGAACGGACAAAAGCGATAAGGCCAGGGGGCTGAAGGATGCTCCTCTCTGCTCATTTGTGGCCCTGGCACATGTTTCCTGTTCCTCGGCACAGGGCAGGGGAGATAGTACTTGTGCCACTCCTGTGTTTGCAGAGCACGTTCAGTTCGTTAAATCTTTATTGATGCGTGGACACTCCTTCCCCTCCAGCCCCGCCCCCCAGCCCCGGAAATACTGGAGGAGCTGCACCATAAAAGGAGGGCACGAGATTGTTGTCCCATTCACGACGGGGCTGAGGGGAAGGTGTGCAGGTTCCAGCCCAGATGTTCAGGATTGAGATGTGGGTAGTGAAAGGAAAGTGGGTTTTCCGGGATGTGGGGGCTTTCCTCAGCATTGGGTCCACTGACGCTGCTGCTCCCAAGGGGATGCTAGGACTCCGCTCAGGCAGGGGTGGGGGCAGGGCAGGTCGGAAGATGCGGAGCTTCAAGTCCTTGGGCCAAGTAAGAAGGAGGGCAGCCGTCAGGGTTGTTCTTGACTCGAGGGTCATTAGACCCAGACCTTTCCTGATGTAGGAACGGCCTGGGACCCTGGTGAGGCCCGGGTTTGCCGCGGATGCGGCGCGCGCCGACGCCGATAAAGGGCTCGGCTGTAGGGCACGAGGCAATCGGCTAGACGGAGGCGCAGGCAGAGGCGGCGGTAGCTGGCCAGAGCAAGCACGAGCAGCGGCACGAGGAGCAGGAATCCGGTGACCAGAAGGGCCGTGAAACCGGGGTCCCGCAGGTGCGCGGTGCAAGGGGGTGCCTGGGAGCGCAGGAACTGTGGGAGAAGAGGCGTCAGGCCCAAGCCGACCGAGCCATACTGTGCACGGGGTGGAAACAGCCCAGGCGGGTTGAAGTTGTGGCCCATAGACCCCACCGCCAGCATCACCACACACCAACACCCACACTCACACGCACACCCGGGGACGCACGCTCACCTGAGAATGGCAGAGGAAGCCGAAGCCCAGCATGGTGACAGCGGGTAGCAAGATGGTCCCCAGCACCAGCGCCAGCAGGAGAAGATTGAAGGCAGCCACCAGCAGATTCTGGGCTGTTACAAGCACAGCGCAGGCCCAACAGTCCAGGGGGTCCCGGGGCTCTGGGCCGCCACCGGGAACCGCTCGCTGTGCCCCGGGGACATCCGCCATGGCCCGCCTGGATTCCGCCCGCCTGGGCTGCTGCCCTTATAGCCCTCTTTCCTGCCCCTCCCCCGGCCCAGCCTCTCCCCACCCCCCTTATCCTGGAATGCGGCTCTAGGATTAGGCACCCCCCATCCCGAGGAGCGGACCAGAGCCCTGGACATTCCACAGGCGCCTCCGGGGAGGGGCTCGCCCTCGCCAGGGTCTGCGCAGTCCTCCCCATCAATCACGGTCTTGCAGCCCTCCCGGTACTCTCCCTGCTATCACCAGCCGTTAGTGAAACAGGATTTTTTTTTTCCTTTTATTTTTAATATTAATATTCTCACACAAAAATCACCGAAAATAGGGGTAGGATTGGGAAGACCCCTCTGCCCCTGGGGCAGAGAGACAGTGCAGTGCGAGGGTGCGGGACTGTAAACCCCCCACCCCTCCGCAGCCCCAGCGTGGAGAAAAAACCAACAAAACGAAAATAAAGCCCCAGAGAAACTCACCCCGGGGTGTCCCTGCCCCAGTGAGGCCCTGGCCCTGGGTTGTTTCACACTTAAAAAGAAAAGGGGGTGGGGGTGAAGGTCTGTGTTTTTAAAGTTGGCCGGGGCTGGGAAGGACGGGGTTCCTTTTCCTCATAGTTCTTTCTTTAAAACCTTTAAATTTTTTTTATTTTATTTTATTTTTTTACAAAATACCATTTCAGTTCCCACTTCTTCCCCTACAGTACAGGAGTTGCTCACCCTCAGGTGGGGTTGGGGTCGGGTCGGGAGTGGGGGGACTGGTCCGAGAAAGTGCAGGACGTAGGGGAGGGGAGCGGGTTTGAGCACCATGAGAACCCGGCTGGAGCCGCGGGCGGACGGGCGGAGACGGTCGGGCCGGGCCCGGACACACACTGGGGCGCGGGGAGAGCCCGGCGACGGGCGGTCCCTGGAGGGGCGGGCAGAATGGCTTGGGGGTGTGGGAGGTCGGGTTTTCCCAAAAATGAATAAATAGAGGTGAGTGGGACTGTTATAAATTAAAAACCAAAAACAAAAAAAGAACAAAAAATACAAATCATAACCAAGTGAATAAAGAGACATGTACAGGGATCACAGCTAGCATTGGAAATAAAAAAGGAGGTTCTGGGGGAGGGGTAAAGCCCATAGAAAGAATCTCATTAAAAACCTCGGCTGCCGTAACGTCTATGTACATACACGAGCCGCGTGCATCTGCGCCGGGCGGGCGGGCGGCTGGCAGGGTGAGGGAACCCGTATGTGACCCCCGCCGCCGCCGGAGCCTGGTCCTTGTGTCTGTTGCTAAAAAGGCCAAAGTCGGTGAGGGGAGGCTGGTGGGCGAGGGGCTGCCAGCCCCCTCCCCCGTCTCCCATTTTTTTTCCTTTTTTCCTCATATTTGCTAAAAAAAAAAAAAAATGTTTTTCTTAATAAATTAAGTGAGGGGAGCTGCCAATGGGGTGGAAGGGCTGGGCCCGACCCCCTTCCCGGCCACAGGCGGGACCTAGGTCCAGCCCAGGCATGTGCTGGTGGCCCCGCGGCGCCCTGCGCGGGCAGGCAGGCGGGCGGGGCGTCCGGCCTCATCGCGACGTGCTGGCTGGGGCCTGGGGGGAGAAAGCCGGCGGAGGCTCAGGGAAAGGCGCGGCCGGGCTCCCAAAGCCCGTCCCTGCAGCCTGCCCCAGTGCCCTCCTCCGCTGCCCGCGCGCCCGCCGGGCCCTCACCAGCGTGAAGGCGTCGTAGGCCTGAGCCAGCTCCTCCGTGCGGTACTGCTCCAGCACCACCACGCCCTGCAGGCCTGCGCTGCGGCGCCGGGCACAGCCCTCGCAGTGTACCAGGTACGTGTTGCGGCTGCCATTCTCACTTGTCACGAACAGGATGTTAAACACCTCCACCTGGGGCAGGGAGGAGAGGGTAGTCAGGGGGAGGGAGGGCCACTGTGGACACTCAGGGGGAGCAGGGGAGCAGGAGAGCCGGCCCACTCACATCGCACTCGTTGCAATAGTAGGCTGGCTCGTCCTTGACCCGGCCCTGGTAAGCGATTTTCTTCCCTGCCCGCACCAGGCTCTCGCGCTGTACCTGGCAGTGCTTCATGGACTGCAGCAGACAGAACCTGGGGAGCAGTGGGGTTGGGTTGAGACCACCAGCAGGGAGGAAGCCTGGTGCAGGGCTGGAGCAGGGGCAGAGGGGTGGACAGCCCCAGGGCCCTCCCCTAGAGACCTCCCCGCTTCATGTCTGGGTCACATCCTCTGTCCTGGGCATCTGTTATAGGTGAAATTTCCTGTGGTTTTTGTCTATTTGGACCACTAGGAAAGGTCATGACAGCAGGGACCTAGTTAGCCTCCCCAGCACAGTAACACTCGGGGCACAGGCAGACAAGGATGGAGAGAGGTAAGAATGGGGTGGAGTCAGGAAGAACAAGAACAGGCACCGGTCAGTGGAGGTGGGCTCCCACCCAAATAGGGTCCTCACTTGATCATCTTGAACAAATCAGGGTCGCTGATTTTGACCGTGCGAGCCACGTTCCATGACACGTGAATCATGGGCACGATGGATTTGACATTCTTCACCTCATTCCACTCGTATCGTTCCAGGGCCAGCTGGTACTGATAGGCTGCGGGCCAGAGGCGACCACAATAGGACTCTCAAACAGCCCCCAGACACCTAGGCCCAAGACCCTTCCCTCACTGCTGGCGGCTCTCCAAGTCCCAGCCTCCCAGGCCTTGCGGCTGAGGCCCCACACCATGCCAACACCTGCCCCACCCTCTCACCGGTGAGGGGCCCCACGTTCCAGGCAATGTTGTTGCACCAGCCGGTGGCCTGCACCCAGTGCACAGTCCCCGCATTAATCCACACGAGGTCTCCAGGGCGCTGCACGAAGCGGTACACAGGGATATTGGATGCATAGAGATCATCCAGGATTGGCCACCAGGAACCCGTCAAGTAATCCACGCCGTGCCTGCGGGGTGGCCACAAGTCAGGTGGGAACTGGGGACCGAGGGCGGGGACGCGGCAGGCTGACTTGCGCAGGACGGCACGCACCGATCACAGAAAGCGCTGATGGTCTCCCAGTAGTGTTCGTGCACCGCGAACCACTCGCAGTCGCCTGGACCAATATTGATGTTGACGGAGCAGAAGTTGTTATTCTCCTGGTGGCCTGCAGGGGTCGACAGAGAACAGCATGGCTGGCCAGGTCGGAGCTGCGATCCCCGACAGCCCCGCCCTCTGCCCTCATTGGCTGACAGCTGAGCGCCCAGCCCCTCCTCTCGCGCTTCCCGCAGCGGCGCGCACAGGCTTGGAGCGCACCTGGCGTTCGGCTGCCGGGCACCTTCATGTACAGCTGCACCGTGTTCATGCCCAGGATGGTGTGGCCCACGTGGCTCAGCATGTTGCCCGTGGATGTTACCCGCATGAAGGCGGGCAGCTT